ATTTTGTATTTATCTCCTGCGTTGGTTCGGGTAAAGATATATTTATTTTAAAAGTTACCATGGGATCGGCCACAGTTTAGGACCATGACTCTGAGTTGGTTTCTTTCTCGCTCAAATTAGCACGCCATCTGTCGTGCAAGTTAAGCTTCGAAACTAAGGTGACTATGGCACAGGCTGAAGGTTATAGGCCACAAAAACAGTAGAGCGTAATTACAGGGGTGGCCGACCCGTAACTCTTCTATGTATTTGGATCTTCCGTGAGAGAACCAGTGAGTATATTCATATACATAAAATTTTACTTTTTCGGAATGACTTTTTTCTCCTCATCAAAATGATTTTTTTCAATATAGGCCCCCGTGGTTCCAACAGAGCCATTCAGGCCGGCCAGTCAGTCACAGCAGCAAAATATGTAATATTAAATACAGATAACCTTGTACATTTTGGCCTCTTTCTTCCTACCCGCGCTTGATTGTCCATTCTTCGAGTCTGGTCTTGGTTTTGTTTCATGCAGCTTAATACATTCTTCCCATCTACTCACCCTTTCGTTATTGTTTAAAATTTTTACTTACGTAAAATAACTCGATAGGAGTACCTTGAGTACCCTTGGTCTTACGGGCTCCTGATCTTAGGGGAGAGCATGGGTGGGGCATGCCAAGGAACAAGTTGGCAATAATCCTGTAAAATAAAAGTTACGAGGGTAAGTTGGGGCGCATACTCAAACCTCGGCCGGGGGCACCGAAGTACGCTTTAATATCATCGCTAATCCCCCACCGAGCCAACGGCGAGCGCGTTTATGTAGGGAGAGTGTGTCCTGATCTCGGGCGAGGTCATTGAGATACATTTTCTAGTAGTACCACTAACCCTAACTAGAATAAAGGTTAACGGGTGCATAAGTTGGAAGCTTGTGGAATTCACCCTACTTAAAATTTTTAAGTAAGTGATTATTGCCATGGTTAATTTTAAAAGCCATTTTTGCTTAATATAATAACTTGAGCGGTTATTGTATGCGGTGGCCTTCCGAGGACCCCTCTGTAGTTGAATGCCATCATCCAATCCCTACTGGGTCGATGGCCGGCGTGCAGGAAACTGGAAGATTATGGTTAATTCGACCTTTTTTAAATTTGTAAAAAGGTGGTTTTAACACATAAGGGTCCTTGTTTTGTTCAACACTCAGAGGTTCTGGTCCCAATGTACGAGTGTTGCCGCAAATATTGACCTAACGAGGCGTTGCAGTATAAACTTGATTCTCCAATCAATTTTTAGTTATTGAGGACAAATTGTGAAGCATCCGGTCTTTTTATAGCGTGAGAGCCAAGTGACGGGTCAGTGTATGAGCGGTTACCTTGACATTAGTTTTCTGCTGTTTGGGCTTGTTATCGTCTGTACCTGCACACAACAACTCGTCTCGAGTGAGTGAGTGAGTGAGAGAAAGAGAAGGTTAGTGCCCTAGATTCACCGGGACCAAGGCAAAAGGTAATAAAATACTCAAAATCTAAAGGTTTACATGAAATCCACATCTGTTATGGAGACAAGTCTGACTTCGACTTCTGTATTTCTGTTTCTTTACACATGAGATAGCGTGCTAGGAATGGGAGTATAGAGTGCTGATATACGATGTACGGCAAGACGTATATCGGAGACTTCGGTGCATAGTGCGGAAAGACTTCGCGGGCATTAGCTCAGGGTGAAGAGGACGAGCGACCTCACCAAGAATGCCATCAGCAAATTGCTTGGCCGTTTTAAAGTGTCGCTGTATTATAACGCCAGCTAAAAACACAAGAAGCGCCGGCAACCGAAGAAAGCACTCGGAGGACACGCTTAAAAACGAACAGGCATTTTTTTAAAAAAAGACTGGAAAGATAACTGGAGAGCAGCAAAGAATGAGGGGGAGAATACAAGTATCTATAAATCGTCAGATTTGGGGCTTGCGGTGTGTGTGATATGAACGTAAATGGCGCACATAATATAGATGTTTACGGATCTTAATAAAGAGGCCTTTTATACGAAGAATAAATGAAAAGTTGGATGCCAAAGTAACAACAAGGTACCGGAAAGAGGATACCTCATTGAGCAGAATGTGTAAGGGTTCAGGACTGGGAGAGGGTCGCAGTCGGAAAACACTGGACTGACTTCCGGTCGTTCAGTAGAAAGTTATATGCTAACGACCATACTGAGACGTGGTCCAGGCCATCTTTCAGTACTCGGAGATTCATCTGACTTTTGAAAGGATGGCCAACAACCATATCATCAGCATATTTAATATACAAACATTCGTTGGGCGATTGT